GGGGGGGGGGGGGGCCTGCCTTCTTCATCTCTCTCCAAATGCCAAAAGCCATGTGGCACTGAGTTACCTTTTCCCTAAGACTAACCCTTTCTTTCCTGAGGCAAACCCCTTCTTTGCATGCAAGCCAATAAACATAGTTCTCCTGCCTGGAACAGGCACTTACCTGTCCAAAGTGATGAGCCAAAATAATGTCCACAACATTGGTTGTCAAGCCTGAGATCTAAAAAGAAAAATTTGTGTCAAGGGTGTTAAGTATATGTACAAATTTATCAAGCTGTCCACTTAAGATCAGTACAATTTACTGTGTACAATATATATTGTGTATAAATTGTGTTTAACAAACAAAAACACAACTAAGTGTCACATATTTCATGAGACAGTGGTTTCAAGAGACATGAGAAAAAGAAACAAGTCAGGGAAAAAAATGAAGTGTCTCCCTTCCAGAGTAATAATACAGCCTGATTTGAAGTTAGTGGCAGGAAGAAATCGGGCCATAACTTCTTTGAAAATTTAAGACCAAGAAGTCACATCTATTAGTTACTTCATTCTGTATTTACACAGGATTTATGGATAATACGAATCAGTTTACAATCACTCCCAAGCCTTCCAAGAGACAGAAACAAATTTTTTTCTTCCAGCTTTTGTTATCCTCGTTTCAGAGAATGAGAGGAAACTGCTGTTTACTGAATGTTCTTACATTTTGAACATTTTTCTCCTAATTTTTCCCATTTCAAAATGATACTTATCATCTCTTTTTTCTCTGTTTGTTGCTGGGATTGTTTATATTTGTAAGTTCATTAGCATATTCTGTAGTTTCCTATCTAGATAGCAAATACCTTCCTTTTTCAGACAGCAAACACAACAATCCACACATCTTTGGGAGCAGTAGCACAGATGAGCTATTTGGGTTCACTGAATAGAGTGATTCATTCATTCATTTCACTTATTAAAAGAGTGAAAATGTAAACCACAGATTGGGAGAAGATATTTACATGTAGCTAGCAAAGAATTCATATGTAGAATATGCAAGAAACTCTCACAGATCAATAGGAAAAAGACCAGCAACCAGATTTAATTTAAAAAAAGGGCAGAAGACTTGATAGTCACTTCATAAAATGATATTCAAATGGTCAGTAAGTTTTGGAAAAGGTGCTCAACATCATGGGAAATACAAATTAAAACTCAGCTTTGCCCTGGCTGGGTGGCTCAGTTGGTTGGAGCATCACCAAAAAGGTTGCAGGTTCCATCCCTGGTCAGGGCACATACCCAGGTTTCGGGTTCAATCCCCAGTTGGGGCACATATGAGGCAACCGACCAATGTTTCTCTCTTATATCGATGTCTCTCTCAAATCAATTAAACATATCCTCAAGTGAGAATTAAAAAGAAAAAACAAAACAAAACAGCTTTATTTACCCATAAACCTTGCTTAAAATTAAAAAGATGCAACAATTAAAAATTATATAATAATGAAAGCTATTTTGGTGATGGATACCATATAAAAGCAAACTAATACTACAAATAAAACTGCTCATCTTTCATAAAAATTAGAAGGACTATCCCCGGTATGCCAAGGTTCCGGGTTTGATCCAGTCAGGGCACACACTGGAATCAACCAATAAATGCATAAATAAGTGGAATAACAAGTCAATGTTTCTCTCTCTGTCTCCTTCCCCCCCTCTCTAAAATCAATCAATAAACAAAACAAAAAAATAAATAAAAAGACTATCAAATGTTGGTGAGGGTGTGGAACAATGAACTTTCCTGCATTGCTAATATGTAAATTGGCCACTTTGGAACATTGGCAGTTATCTACTAAAGCTAAACAGACAACTGCCCTATGACCCAGCAATTCTGCTCCTAGCTGTAGATCCAAATGAAATGAATGTGTAGGTCTATGAAAGACTGATAAAAGAATGTGCCCAGGAGCTTTATTCATAGTAACTACACAACTCATTTTGTGAATTCACACCACAGACTTCTAAACAACAATTAAAAATAACTGCTACACACAACATAAATGAGACAGACAATAATGAATTTTAAAAGCTAGATACAAGCCCGGCCAAGTGTGGCTCAGTGGCATCAACCTAGGATCCAGGAGATCGTGGTTCAATTACCAGTCAGGGCACATGCCTGGGTTTCGGGCTCAGTCCCCAGTCGGGGCGTGTAGGAGGCAGCCGATCAATGACTCTCTCATCATTGATGTTTCTATCTCTCTCTCTTCCTCTCTCTGAAATCAATAAAGATATTTAAAAAAAAAAAAAGGTAGATACAAAAGAATACATTATTTTATTATTCCAATTAGGTGAAGTTTAACAATAGATAAAGCCAATCTATGGTGACTGCAGTCAGAGTAACAGTTATTTTTGGGAGAGGAAGTACTAATTAAGAACAGAGTTGGAGCCTGCCTGGTGTGGCTCAGTGGCTGAGCATAAACCCATGCACCAAGAGGTCACTGGTTAGATTACTGGTCAGATTACCAGTCAGGAAACATGCCTGGGTTTCAGGCTCCATCCCCAGTAGGGGGCATGCAGGAGGCAACCAATCGATGTTGAAGTTTCTCTCTATCGACGTTTCTATCTCTCCCTCTCCCTTCCTCTCTCTCTAAAATCAATAAAAACATATTAAAAAATAATAATAAATTTAAAAAAAAGAAAAGCACTGGAAATATTCTGTATATTGATTGGATGTGATTAGAAATGTAATTCATTAAGCTGTATAATTAAAACTTCTTGCCTTTCACTGTACAACCCTCAATGAAAAAATAAAAATAAAATAGATAAGCCAAGCCAATGGACACCATTTGGTGCTTACTTTGGAAGCTGCCCAGTCAATCCATCCTTTAGCGCAAGGGTCAACGTTAATGAGCACAAGGCCTTCCACAAGCTCTGGATGATTGAGCTAAAATAGAAGACAAAGACAATAGTATAAAAGTTCCACTCCTAGCATTCTTCTAAAAATATTGGAGCATGGTTACTCTCACTATGCTTTAATGCCTCAGATTTGAAAGTAAGACTTCAGAAAGGTGTAAGGGAGGCTACTCAGAAAAATAGCTCTAAATCTGACTTAGCACCTGAAAAACCGATTTCTTAAAATTGCTGTCAAATAATCTTACCTTGCAAGGATCTATGGGGAGAGAGAGTTCTACAGCAGAGGAAGGCACCTGGTATCTCTTCAGTCGATTAGCTCATGGTAGGTCTTCCTTGCTGGGGGAAATACCCTTGGAACATCTTGGCATAAAGGGCTGCTGAGACTTAAACTGGCTATTTCATATTCATATACCTTTGTTCCCAATAGGGGCTTCTTAAAGTTTTTGAAACCAGATGAATAGGTTATATACCACCTCCAAAAGACTGACCTCTCACCCAGGAGGCATTTGAAAAAAGTTTCTTAAATAAAAATCAATAGGAACATTTCTATGTAAACTCAAAACTCTCTAGCTTACTTTTTTCCCTCTGATTATACTGATTATGCACTCTTCAGAAAATCTGAGAAACAGAAAAATTAAAAGCAGGGAATAAAATTTCATATTCTCTTACCGCACAACATCAATTCCTGTTCCTATTTTGGTATATTTCCTTCTAGTCCTCTTCTATGCCTATGACAAACTTTATGTGATCTGTATTGTAACTTTGTTAATGTTTTAGTATATCCGAATAGCATCATTACAAGCTCTTCTTACAAAATTTTAATGGCTGTACAAAATTCCATTGCAAGCATTCTCTAAGAATTACTTTTTATTGATGATGTACTGCCCTCATTTGTGATTTTTCAGGTACTATAAGTTTGAAGCAAGGCTTTATACAACCTATATCTGGAGCTGACAAAATTTATTAAAAAGTTGATATAAGACCAGCAATAGTACCTGGTTATGTAACACAGCAGTAAGAACTGTGATCTAGCCCAGCCAGCCATGGCTCAGCGGTTGAGCATCAACCTAGGATCCAGGAAATCACGGTTCAATTCCTGGCCAGGGCACATGCCTGGGTTTCAGGCTCGATCCCCAGTTAGGGGCATGCAGGAAGCAGCGGATCAATGACGACTCATCATTGATGTTTCATCTCTCTCTCCCTCTCCCTTCCTCTCTGAAATCAATACAGATATATATTTTTAAATAAAGAGCTGTGATCTAGGCAGTGTCTCAAGGATATTGAGACTAATCTTCCATGTACTTACTGCAAATTTGCTGAGGATGTAAGCTCCAGCTCCAACTCCAATCCCAATGATGCTTTTCACACTGTGAATGAAACACACAAACATTGATTGGGTTAACTCACTTGGAGGTAGCATGACAAACTGGAAAGAATTTGTTGGTTCAAATCCTGACTCTGATGCTTATCAGATAGAATTTGGTCAAATTTCTTTAACTTTCTGAGCCTTAGTTCCCTATCTATACAACAAAGTTATGACCACCTACTTCTAAGTTGACTTTAAGGGTTAAATGAAATGACTAAAATCTGGGAGTTATCCCTGAGCACTCACTTTCCTATCACCTCCATGGCTAACCCCCATGACTGTTGTAATATTTTAACTAGTCTCTCCCTGCTTTTTCTTTCATTCCTTTCAAACCAATTTTCTCCATAGCTACTCCTTTAAAAAAAAAAAAAAAAAAAAAAGAAAACAGCTTTCTCGATGCTCAATTTACATATCTAGAGCGGTCATTTAAAAAGACCAAATTGGATTATCACTCTCCTGGTTAAAAGCCTTCAGTATTTTTTCTCTTTCAAAATTTTGAATAAAATCCCAAATTCTTACCTGATCTGTGAGATCAACGTAATCTGGTCCTTGTCTATTTCTCGAATTTCACCACATGCCTTTCTCCCACTTGCTCAATTGGACATAACAATCCTTCTGTCTGAAATCTTTTTGCCCTGGCTCTTGGTCTAGGTAGCTCCTTTCTATCCTCTAAATCTCATCCTAGATGGCACCTTCTTTGAGAGGCATTCTCTAACTAGCCTTATCTATATAGATCCTGCCATTATTCTCTATCACCCCCCCCACACTGACTCCTATAGCACTTTAGTTGTTATTGTTTGCTTACTTGTTAATTATTTCCCCCACTAAGATGTAAGCTCCACAAGGGCAGTGATTTTATTGTTTTGCTCACATAACATGTAGCAAATGTCAGACACATAGCAGAAAGTCCTGAAAAATCATGTGAAAGGCCCTGGCTGGGTGGCTCAGTTAGCTGGAGTGTCTTCCTGTACACCAAAAGGTTGCAGGTTTGATTCCAGGTCAGGGCACATACTTAGGTTGTGGGTTCAATCCCAGGTCGGGGTGCATATGGGAGGGCAACCAACCAATTGACGTTTCTCTCTCTCTTTCTTAAAAAAAAAAAAAAAAAAATTCAATGAAAACATACCCTTGGGTGATAATTTAAAAAAAAAAGTGTGAGAACTGCAAAATGAACCTACCTTAAGTGGCTAAGAACAGGCGGCAGCATTTCAGCTAGTTCATCCATTGTGGGGTACTGGTACCTGAAATCCAGAAGGAAACCTCCTGAGTTAGAATGCACCTGTTTTCCAATTACAAGAACAGCTAGAAAAGTACAGGATTCTTAGATAAAAGCATTCCCTTTACCAAAGGCTCAAAGGAGGTGATTAGTAGTCTAGGAATGACTATGGTATGTTGTGTGATGTTCTATGACTGCCATGCTAAACAGGTTAGAGAACCTACATGTTTCTATATCCTCAAGAGCAGTCTCTCAGACCAGAGGAAGCCATTTGAGAAGAACAGGTGATAGGGCTCGCTTTCAGGGTATTTCTAAATCCCTAACAATCATTTCAATTGGGGTTCAGGCTCAGTAAACTACCAACAGTAAGAATCAACTCAGGAAGTGCCTCTTGATCTGCTGCTTATATCTAGACAACTAAAAGCAAAAGTAGTCCAGCGGGTGTGGCTCAGTGGTTGAGCATCAACCCATGATACAGGAGATCACGGTTCAATTCCCAGTCAGGGCACATGCCCAGGTTGTGGGCCGATCCCCAGTGGAGGGTGTGCAGCAGGCAGCCAATCAACGACTCTCTCTCATTACTGATGTTTCTCTCTCTTTCTTCCTCTCTCTGAAATTAAAAAAAAAATTTTTTTAAAAAGAGGGTCAAAACCCTTTAAAACACACACACCAGTAAACAAAGCTTTACTGGGCCTAGGCATAGTCACAAATCCTGGACTCCTCATTATGAATGTTGTTTGTTTTACTTAGGCATAGGACAACATGGTTACTTTACTGTCTTTGAATTTGGTTGATGATATGAACCACTGGACTCTAAAATGATCAAGCACGCCCAGGAATGGATTTAGACTAGGAATCCAAGAAAAGTATGGAGCACCTAGAGATTACAGAACCAAAGATCCTCTGCTTGAAACACAAGCCAGAGATTTCAACCAGTGTGCAGCAAGAGGCACGTCTCTGTGCTGCAAGGCTTTTTAAAACAAGCAGTACCTGACTACTCAGTCAGGGTCACTGACCCTTTTTCCCTCAAATAAAAAAATGACAACAGCCAACACAATAGCTGTCCATTGTGACTGGATCAAAATTATACCTATTCTTTTTGTCAGATCAGCAAAAAAAATATTTTTCGGTGTGCTGCAGAATTTTAGTAATTCGTTTATGTGTGCCATGACATTAAAAAGGTTGAAAATTGTTGCTTTAAACAATGAAGTGCGTTTTAGCCATTTGTGCACAAAACAGGCAAAAAGGAATGGGACCCAAATCTCACTGAATGTAAACTGGTCACTGGCCAATTTGCGTTTGAGAGACAGAAGAGCTTAGACATAGTCAATGACATGGATTCTGCAGCCACACTGCCTGGGTTAAAACCTCGCTCTGCTGCTTATTTATTATATAACCTCAGCCAAGTTACTTACTATCTCTGGGCTTTAGTTTCCTCACTTGTAAAATGGGAGTAATAGTAAACCTACCTCATAGTGCTGTAAAATGACTTAATAAAGTATTTAAAGCAGTGTCAGGAATATTCTGACTCTGGCTCCACCACGCAAAGCAGGTTTAGGATGAGGCTGAGAACTCCAAGTCGAGTAAAAATGCACCTCTACCTGACAAGGCAGATTCTCAGAATAAATGGTGACACAGATATTCGAATTCCTGTCACCAGATTGGGAGGAAGGGTGGGGAGATACTCCTAGGAAGCTCAAAGAGATCTGAGTGTGGGCCTAGGTAGTTGGGGAGGAACACAAAATGACAGATTTAAAATAGATGAAGAAGGGAACAGGTAAAAGACTGAGAAGTGGGTGTTCCAGACACTTCTGCCTAGCAATTATAGGAAGACAGGTTTCCGGTTTGGAAAGCCATTCCTGGATATGGAAAACATGCAGTTTTCCTCAATACACTGTACATAACAGCCCTCTCAGATCAAGGAGGAAATACGAGAATAGTTGGTTGATAAGTATAATCCGTAGGCTGTGCCAAAATCAGCTGGGAAGGGCCTAGCGGGTGTGGCTCAGTTGGTTGGGAATCATCCCATACACCAAAAGGTTGTGGGCTTGATCCCCAGTTGGGGAGCATGGAAGGCAACTGATGAATATTTCTTTCTCACATCGATGTTTCTTTCTCTCTCAAAAATCAATGAAAAACATATCCTCGGGTAAGGATAAAAAAAAAAATCAGCTGGGAAGGGAAACACACTAGTTCTCCCACTGGAACTCAGTCATTTGCTCTTCTGAGTGTATGTCTTCCAGAAGATCTTGCTTGTAGCCTTACCCTGTTGGGAAAGAAGGTGCACCTTCCTGTTGGCCTGGGGCATCCACATGACAGACAGCAAAGTGCTGAGTGATCTCTTGCATATCCTCAAAGTTAAAGAACGCATTGAAACAGGATTTATCTGTAAGAGTAAAAATACACGTAAGTCACAGGCTTTCCATTTCTCCCCAACTTTCCTCTACTGATCACAAAATTCTATAGCATCATCCTTTCACCGCCTTTTAATCACTGTCCCACTACACTGAGGTATCTGAACAATGTGTCTGATTCAAGCTGCCCTAAAAGCTGAATACCAGAAGTCTCAATGACTTGAAAATAACTAATTCTCAATTCTACAGAATGTCTACAAAGTAGAAACCAATTCTGGTGTTGCACAAGATAATCTTAAACCCATAGCACTGTCATTTTTCAATCTGACATAGAGACACTGATATATCCCAAGAATCTGGCTAGAGTGAGTATCTTGGGCTGCTTATATTCATCATGTGGAAGACTATCTCTTGGAAAAAAGGCTGGAGTGTAGGGAGGGGCTGCTGCTTCAATTGCCAACCTGTTAATATAACTGATTAAATCACTTCTCTATAAAAGCTCTAGCACTAGACTGTAGCCTCAAATGCAGACCACCTCTGAAAGCCAGAGATACGAAAGAAAATATATGTATAGAGACTCTGTGTGCCTGTAGCTAGGGCCAGAATCTTACACTACCATCCAGAAAAGTCCACTTAAAGTCACTGATGGCCGGCTGTAGCAAGAATACTTTTACCAATCATTAAAGAGTTCACCACAAAGTTAAGTTCAAACCCTGGATTTTTTAACCTGAAATATAAAAAAACACACCAAAGAAGTAGAGCCCTAGCCAGTTTGGCTCAGTGGTTAGAGTGTCAGCCCATGACTGAAGGGCATGTACCTCAGTTGTAGTGTGGGAGGTAACCAATCAATGTCTCTCTCACATTGATGATTCTTTCTTTCTCTCCCTCTTCCACTCTCTCTGAAAAACAATGGAAAAAATATCCTCAGGTGCCCTCGCTGGTTTGGCTCAGTGGTTAGAACGTCAGCTCGCAGACTGAAGGGTCCCGGGTTAGATTTCGGCCAAGGGCACGTACCTGCGTTGCAGGCTCCATCCCTGGCCCCAGTCGGGGCACACGTGTGAGAGGCAACCAATCAACGTGTCCCTCTCATGTCGATGTTTCTCTCTCTCTGTCTCTCCCCCTCTCTATGGAAAAAATATCCTCAGGTGAGGATTAACAAACAAAACAAGACAAAACAAAATCCTCGGGTGAGGATTAAAAATAATAAGTACAGACAAAAAAGCCCTGGTTTTAGTTCTACTTTCTCAACCAGTTCACCATGTAACCTTCAGTTCTTCAGTAACTATGACACAGAGGCGAGATATAATGCCAGTATCCCCAAATGCATACTTCTGCACATTTCTAGGGAATTTGAATCCTGCCAGTAACATGAAGGGGAAGGTTAAGGCAGAGAGAAGAAAACCTATGTTCTAACACCAGGATCTCTTATGTGTGTGTTTAATACACAAAGATTAAAGATTATAATAAAAAGGGAAGATATAAAAAGAAATACATACGATTGAGGCCAATGTCATGATATGTCAGAATAACTGGTCTGTTTCCCTTCGGTAGGCCTCTTATAGTGGCGTGGACCATACCATGAGGTGTTTCTATGTCATGTTCCTGTAACGAGAGAATGTAAGGTCTCAGCAAAGGCAGAATGGACTTCCCAGGTTGCTAAAGTTTCACCATATCTGATTCACAGCTATTTCCCATTAGCTAGGGCAGGACACATCACTGACACTAAACTATAAGCATACCAGAGAGATATATTATACAGAATATTACTACTTTCTAATTCATTTCAGATATACAAAAAATAAATGAGAAAAAAATATATATCTTTTATCCACAGAGTTCACTTTCTTAAGTAGGGGGAAATCAGGGATCTGTTGATAATATATTTGCAAATGGCTATGGAAAGATCAACAAGTTGAGTAAGGAGCCAGTAAGACCTGAGGAAAGAAAAGCCAAGGAAGCAGAAGATATAAAGTTGCTAGGTAAAAAGCGAGAGGCTTCAGAACCTCTAAATGTATGTTCAGCAACTGATAGGTTCAGAAGACACCTATGAGTATGTATGCCTAAATCTCTCCCCTCTCCCAGGAGCTGTCATTCAGTATCACCCATGCATTCCAGGAGTGGCTCTTGGCTGCCAGGCTTATAGACTGCAACCTTAAGGCCACGGCTAACTGGAGTCAGGTGGGCATCTGGTCCATGCTGGGTCCCCTTTCTTCCCTGAGAATCTGTAATTGGCACTAAGAGATTCCATCCTCATCTTGGTTTTCCAGAAAAGAGATGTAAACTTGAGAGTTTATATTAGGCATTTTCATTGCTCTAATTCCTGGTTCTTGCTTAATTTCTGAGACATCCATGGATTATCTCTGGTTTAAGCTAGTTTGGATAGGCTTGTTCCCTATACCCCAAAGGATCCTAACCAAAGCGATGAGTAAAGTTTAAGATGTAGTCAGAGCAGAGCTCAGGAACTCAACAAAGCTGGAACAAAATGCAATAATAGCTGCTAAGGCCCTGGCAGTTTTGCTAAGTGGTTAGAGCGTCAGCCAGCAACTAAAGGGTCCTGGGTTCGATTCCAGCCAAGGGCATGTACCTCAGTTGCAGGATCAATCCTGGGCCCGGGGTGCCACGTGCAGGAGGCAACCAGTCCATGTGTCTCTCTCACATATATATGTGTGTGTGTGTGTGTGTGTGTGTGTGTCTGAAAAAAGCAAAGGAAAAATATCCTCAGGTGAGGATAAAAAAAAAAAAAAAGCTGCTAAGACCAGCACTAAGAGTGGTTGGGTGGAAGAGACTGTAGTTAACAGATTTATTCTAGTCTTCTTCAATGTCTATCTTTCTCAAAAGTAAAAAATTATCATGTCTAGCCTAGTGAATTTTTGCTGGCCAAGTCATCCACACCTATCTCAGAAAGCATTACAGTAGATAAGACAAGATTAACTTTGTCAATAAGAATCCCAACAAAGGCAAATCGCTTCCAAGTTAATTTCCTATCTAATAATGAACCTCATCAGAGCTTTGTTTTCTTCTCATGTGGGGCACAGAACAATCTTAGGCTAACAGACCATCATTGTATCTCAAATCCTAGGCCCCAGGCTAGAGCAGATATCTCCATCAAATCAAACCATGAGCGACTCAATATTCTTGCTATTCTCTACTACTGCTACCTCCTAGTCAAAGAATTGGAAAAGGGAAGAAATGAAGGAGAGAACCAGGCACTGTGAACTAATGGCTATGAAATCAAAATCAAGTACAGGGTTTGGATAGAAGGAATAGAAAGACAAATTCCTATCCCTGTATGAGCATTTCTCTTGTAGTAATGTCAGGCTTCTTGAGGAACCCCCTCCACCACCATCAAGCTCACTCACTAACAACTATTTATTGAACCCTACTACCAGAACTTGGACTGAGCTCTGGGGACAAAACAGTGAATAAGAGACACGGTCCCTGTTCTCACAGAGAGATTATGTTCTAACAGGAGGGCAGACAATAAATATACAGGTCAACCAACCCATAATAATGGCTTGTGATAAGTGCTATGAAAGAAATAAACAGGATACTGTGATCGAAAATTGAGAAGACATTAACTCTATTAGAAGTCAGGACAGTGTCAATTAAATCACTGAAATGTGATTTCAAACACATAAGAATGGCAAAAATTTTAAAAGTTAGATAATGCCAAATGTTGGCCAAGATGTAGAGAACTAATAAGTCTCATACACTGTTGGTGGGCATGTAAACTGGACCAATTACTCTGGTGAACAATTTGGAAATTTCTAGTAAAGTTTAGAGGTTTCTACCCTATAGTAGTTTTGCTTTTAGGTATAATCTAAAGAAATCCTCAAACATGGTCATACATGCAAAAAGAAATACACAGAAATATACGCTGAAGCCTTATTTATAATGTAAAAAAAATTGAAAATAGCCTACTCATCAATAGGGAAACTGATAAATGAATTATGACATATTCATATAATAAAAGATAAAAATTAATGAACCAGAACTACAAGCATTAATACACTGAGAACATCTTAAAAGCACAATGCTGAACTGAAATACAGAAAGATATTATATACCACATAAGTAGATTTTTAAAAAAGCAACACTATATAGATTACATATGTTCACATACATATATTTAAAGTGTAAAAACTTGGAGGAGAAGGAATGACACTAGCATTAGAACTTGTTTCCTCCTGAGAGATGACAGATTAAAAAAGGGAACTCAAGGAAGCTTTGCTCTCTCTCATGTTTTATTTTTTGACAGAAAAAATAAAGAGGGAGAGAGATGCAGGTTCCTGCCAGTGGGTGACACTACAGGAGAACCCAAATTGAAGAGAATGTGCAACATTTGTCATCCTGACAATCTAGTTACTGGAGACTCCCTTCTATCATATCCAAACCTTCAGTAGAGTCGTGTTTAAATATTCAGGCTTGGCCTCAGCTGTGCTACTGAGACCTAAGGGAAAAACCACTTTACACTTTGGCCCTTAGGTTAGCAGACCTCCTGAGGCCAGGTAATTGATGGGGGTAGTGTATGGGGGTGGGATGGGAGGGGAATAGTAAGCTGTGAGGGAAGCTCAGGAGGATGATGAAAAGGGAGATATAACAGATGGGGTAAAAAAGAACATGTTAGAAGTAGGTGAAGGAATAGGGCAAAGTAACTGCTTGGTCATTTCATAATCTAGATGAAATTCAGAGTTAAAATTGGCTTACAAAACGTCAACTTTTTAGGGAGATCCCAGCTCCTACTTCCCATAATATACCCTCAAATTGTGTAATGACCAAAGTATCAAAGGGTCAGGAGTGCCCAAGCAACCTTTGGCTGTCAGTGTCTCATACAGATTCTCTTCATTTCAAAGTTTGTGAATGTAAATGTTATTAGCAGAATAAAGAATATAAAAAGAAAGGAGACACTCACCTCCATATGGACTTCTATATATATCCTTTGTGACACTGAGTGTGAAGAGCTTGTACAAGTCTCCATCTAAAAATGAGTGTGCAGAGACCCTGGCTACAGAACTGACTCAATGGTCAGGTCATGCAGGGGTGAAGCTGCCAACACCTTTCTGCTTCAACTATTATGTGTTCCACAGGCTTTCTCCAGTTACCTCACCCTGCACCGTAGCATTCTACAGGGTATGACTACACAATGAGTCTGTGCTCAAAGGGCACAGCCCAGGTAGGGTCTATCTAATAGGCTCTGGTCATAGATCTTTTCCAGTATTCTCTGGTTATCTACTGTCTCCAAGGTTATGTACTTGAACATGATCCCTTCATTCTCCAGGCTTATAAAACCTGAAATCACATTGGTCCCCGACATACTTCTCCATTGTGGGCTGTCTCTCAAAGATATAGTTTAAGAGTCTTTTTTAGGGATTTAAGGGTTTAAGATATTACCATTATTTGATAACCAACTTTCATATTTTTTCCAAGTCCTCTTCCTTCAGCTAAATGTGCTGTCACTGGCACTACACAATCTGACTTGTCATCTCTCTCTGAGCTCAGTTAAACTTTGATAACTTCATGCCTGTTAGTACTTCCTCTCTCTGGGCAGTCTGAAAGAGTTTAAGTAAACTTGTATGACAACATACTCTTGAAAATGTCAACACTTTTATTAGTATGAAAGTTTATTGTTTCTAGTAAGCAGCTACTATATGAGCCTTGGGTATAGTTTTTATTATTATATAGGAATTTTTGATGTAATACCCCCACCATTACCTTATCTCTGTGTAGGGGTATAGAGTTCATTTGTATAACCTCATTTAACTCCCTAGTAAAAGAATTGGCCTTCACAGTTAGTAAGCCTCCTACCTATCAGTAGAACACATTTTCCTTTTTAAAGTTTTATACTGCATGTTCTTTGACTCTACCCTCAGTTCTCTCCTCTACCTCTTACAACTTTTAGCCTAGTTTAATAAACAATCGTTCAGACATCTTTTACTCTTCAATGGCCGACACCTTCTCATGAATCATGCTGTTCGTCTGAATGTTTCTTTTTCAATATGTAAAAGTAAAATCTATCTTTTCCCGGTTCCAAGCCAACTCCAGTATCTTTTTCACACAGCCTCAGGTGAAACGAGAAGGAAGTGAAGACTATGTATTATTTTATCCTGATCCAAGCATGTTTTTTTCCATTGCTTTTCAGAGAGTTTGGGGGAGGGGAGAGAATGAGAGAGAGAGAGAGAGAGACATCGACGCAAGAGAGACACATTGGCTGCTTGCCTCCTGCACGCGTCCTGACTGGGCTGGGGGATCGAGCCTGCAACCAAGGCATGTGCCCTTGGCTGGAATCACACCCGGGATCCTTGTCTGCAGGCCGGTGCTCTAACCACTGAGCCAAACCAGCTAGGGCTGAATGACTATTAAACCCACACACAACAGCCCATAACACCTTCAGAACATGGACTCTCTAGTAAAGTCCAGGTGGGAAGGGGTCCAGGTATATATGCATGTGACACACC